GGTGAAAATTATAAGCCAATCATTTTATATCACATGATACGAATTTTATAGCAAAAATTTCGATTTTATATAATGAAATTTTGATTTCGAAATATTTCCGTGTCCCTGGTGTCCGGAGACTTTCGCTTTTATAAATCAAAATCACATGATAAATATAAACCATTGTTTGGAACGCTGTAAAATACTATCCAACTTTAGAATCTACCCAAATTAATTAAAATTGTATTATACCGATAATTTTGTTACTACAAGTTTGGCTACGATATCATTGTGTGAAGACTAAAGCTGTATTATTTTAGGTCTTTTTTTTTAATTAATTACATAGACTACCAATTTATGGTATTCGTTTATTAAATCAAAATTTCAAAAACTATTAAAATCTAACCCAGCTAAGAATCGGGAAACATCTATTATAAATCTGGATTAAAGAAATATAAAATAGAATGTATGTCCGGATCTAAGCACTAAGTACCGCTGGGTCGTGCACTACCGGATCGCGTATTCGAAGATTTTATTACTAGAACACGATGCGCCGGTTTGTTCGAATTACGGGTTTTGGGATTTTTATTTGCGGCTGCTTGAGGTGGGGAACTAAGAGGCTCCAACGCAGGGAATTCCATGTTAATCTTGAGAGAATTTAAGTTAATATTTTGTAAACAATCGAAAATAATATTAAGTATACTAACCATAGATTTACGATCATTCCAGGCACTTAACAAGGCACTTTTTTTTGTTTCATTATCTAACACATCCACAAATCCTGATACTACCTTTCCAATAGTGTCGATACGCTTGTTGAATATATTCCATAAAGCCTCTATAAATTGCTGTGCATTAACAGCTTCATTTCTGTATGCAGCAATAATCGAACAAAATTCGTTCATTTTTGACTTATTATTAGACAAATAGCCATTGACACGACGGAGAAATTCATCTTGTCGACTATTTGTTACAATAATACGCACATAAAATCATAATCAGTAACAAATTTTCAATATTAATCACTCAGATATCTGGGATAATATTACCTGGAAATTACAGAACCATTATTCTTTACCCTTTGATTGTGGTTTGGAATATCAGAAACAATTGTCGTTTGATTCTCAGATACATGTGCTAATTCTTTTCCTTTTGAAGAAGTACCACTGCTTGATCCTTGCGTAGATTGAATAAACGGTGATGATGATGGTGATGATGATGATGCTTGGCTTTTTCTACTCGCATCCCCATTTAGTGTTGATCGTTGTTGCATTGTCGATCTCGGTTTATTGATCATTGACGATCTATTAGCACGCACCTTTTCACTATAATTTATAGGAGGTATGCCAGCATTACTAGTAACCCTGGATGCAGCACTTAGAGTTGGAAATTCATCATCCCGCACGCGAGGGACAATAGGATTAGGAGTCCTATTACGTTGGACAGTTTGTGGGGGTGGTTCATCTGGTGGACCAATAACTTCATTAGAAGATAAAACACCAAAACCTGGGGGTGGTCTTACCGCCCTTACATTGGCACTCGTGCCACCATTCATAGAAGAGTTTGATTCCGATACATTGATGTTCTGTATTTGCCGTACAACTTCTTCGATTGCAGATCTACCACCTTCATTGTAATCATTTCTATTTTCTGGCTACAAGTTAAAAAGTAAATGTCTAATAAGTAAAGCATTACAAAGTAATCAAATTGAGCGAACATGAAAATACTATTTACCCCTTGCCTTTCTTGATTTCTCCGCCGATTTCTAAGTGATTCACCGTAAGAAATAAAATTCACTTCAATCCGCCTCGCCTCATGTTGTTTAGCTCTCTGCCCACTAATATAGGATCCATGAGTTTCTAACTAAAAGATTAAAGGATAAGATATTTAAAATGATAAGAATTGAGCGCAATTTATCTATGCTAGTAGTAGTCTACATAAATTTCAGTGCATTACACACCTCATGAGCTTTCAAATCAATATCGGTTTCGAAAACTACGAATTTTTTGTCTAGACATTCTTGATGCAGACACAAAAAGTGACCATTTCTGAAATGTTGTTCCTAATAATAATATTGACAGATTAGTCTCATATAATTCATTTAAATAAAAAATAATGGTATAAAATATTTACCAATTCATTATAATTAATATAGTACTGATGTCTTATTCCAGCCCGTAAGCAAATATGACATTGTTCATGACTATTTCGGCAATGTTCATAAAGTTCATCATCACCATAAAAATCTATACAACAAAAATCACATCTAGGATGCCCAGTAAACCCGGTTTCATCTCCTTCTATATAATGTTTATCAAGCTGATTGGTCGTAAAGAGTTTATGCTCTTTTGTAAATATTTTTTTATGCTGAATACAGAGATCGCTATAAATTAAAAAAGATATAAATATGAATTATGCTATGTATTTTATTTTATTTTTTTTTTCATTTATCTATTTTGAAACGGTATGTAAACATACCAAAGCCACAATTTATGCTCTCTTCTCACATGTTTTTTCAAATCTTGCCACCCATCGCAAACTACTTCGCATTTGTTGCCCGGACAATTATATCTCAACTTGACCATTATATCTTCATAAATTTCCTCATCTTCACAAAAAATATTTAATTTCTCATCCTTGAAAGGAACATCGGTATCTTTGTAGTCTTGAAAAGGCTTTTCGGGATCGCGAGTAAAAATAACTTTAGTTTGTTCAGTCTGGAATGAAATAAGACGTCAATATAAAGATATTCGTTAGTATTATGTTCGTTCAGAGACGATGATTTCTGCGGTGATATTTATTCATTTTAATAAATATCACCGGAGAAAATCATTGTCACTGTGCTCGTTAACCCAAGAATTTTCTGATCGCTATTAATTGAAGCTATACAAAAATACCTTGCAATATGCGCAGTTCTTAATTTTGTACAAAGCTCGTAACCTCAGACAACAAAGATGACATGTTCGATGGTTGCAATCGGCAACAGCATAGAAAATGATCGGCTCGGTACATATCATGCAACCGTTTTCACTGAATGAGGTTGAGTCAGTATTTCCCTTCACCTTGTCAAATTTGTCAAATTTACATATGCCATTTGAACTCTGTGCAGAATTCTCGGAATGTCGTTCACCCTGTCCTCTTCTATGATATGGCCGTCCACCTGCTCGCCCGCCTCGATTATGACGACCTCTACTAGATTGTTCAGTGCTAGTAGAGGATTGAGCGTTTGTACTTGAAATGCTGTCAGACATTGTTGAGAATTTAAAATGAAACAAAAAACGAGATACACTAAAAAAAAAAAAGATAAATACTATGCCGCAACAAATTTTTTGGAAGAGTTTATTATTAGTCTCTGATCACCAATGACTGCGGACTGTTGAAAATTAGCCAATCTCTATTAGATATTAAATAAGATTTGCAGTTCATTATCTGTAATTGGTCAATTTTATACAATTGAAAATTTATACAGTATATTTGATAATCTAATACGTTTAAAAAAATCAGTACGTATCTTTGGAATTGATTCTTATTTAATATTAATATATTTTACTCAGGAAATTGACTTTGACACATAAAAGTCATATATATAATATTTTTAGAAACTATTTAAATTTGTTTTTGAAAATTTGGCTCGGCCCCTAGCCGAACGACTCTCATCTGGCTTATAAATCTATCGACATCCTAAAAATGCGAAAGTCAATTCTGAACAACTTTAATTAACGTTAATAAATTTGCGTTATTTGGTGTCAAGTTCTGTCCAAGTTATCCGAGTGATAACACCACAGCGAATATTATGGTAAAAGTGACGAATTGACAATAAAGCGTGATTTTTTCACTAACTAAATAGAACTTACATTCACAAAGTAGAGTTGTTCGAAATACCATTTATTTGCTTCAAATTGGTAAAATACGATTTAATTTCTATTAACTCGTTCTATGCTTTTGCACATAAAGTAATTTTCTGCGCCAAAATGTATAACGAAAATCTTTTACGTAATATATTTACTAAAAAAAATCGCTGAAGGTCACATGGGAGAAATAGAAACGTATTAAAAAGATCGTCAATTTATATGCGTTCACCTCGTTCGCTAATTTCTTGATAATTTAATAAATAATGGTTGTTGTTTTTTTATAATTAGAAGATTTAAGATCTGTATTTAAATAAAAATTCAAGAGGATAAACTTCTTGCTAGTGAAAACTGTTAACTTCGTCATTTTACCCCATTTGCCTTAATGTCTTCTCTGACAGCTGTTCAGGAACATAACAATATAGACACAGAATATTGGGTGTTTGGTTATGGATCTTTAATTTGGAAACCACCACCAGTATACGAGAAAAGGTCAGTTTCTTATATTTAATCTTTAAGGCCCTGTGTTCAATGCTTAACCATAGATAATAGAATTCCAGGTTTTATTAAGGGGCATGTACGGAGGTTTTGGCAAGTATGTATTTTTATATCTTATCGATAATATGTTTCGTTTTAATTATTGAATGAACGTTGCAGCATAGCACCGACCATCGTGGAACAGAAGAAAACCCTGGTCGTGTTGTCACATTAATCCCGTTCGAGGAATGGAAATTAATGGAGGATTATGTAATGTTGATTTAATTATACATGTACGTACTTATCTCGAAAATTCTTATCGCCTTATTAACGGTCATGTGATTTCAGCACGATCACAAGGATGGCATCACATGGGGCGTCGCCTACAAGATCAATGAGAACGACGTTGAAGCCATCAAGGCTTACCTGGATTATCGTGAAAAGGTTTGCATTGAAGCAAAGATTTATATAAAATAGTGCTCATAATAAACATGAATTGATTTTCGACAGTGCGGATATACGATACATTATGTAGATGTATATCAATTAGGAAATGACGAACCTATAGTCAAAAATGTAAGTTCCTAGTTGGGATTTTAGGGATTTCGACATGAATTAAACATTAAGTCACGAATAAATCCGTATCAAAGGCTGTTGTATATATTGCAACCACCAAGAACGAGTCATATGTTGGACCTGCTTCTTTAGATGCTATAGCTCGACAAATATTTCTGTCTGTTGGTATGTTAATATTGACCGAATTTTTCTTTTTTCCTTTATAATTAATCTTAATCTCTTTTACAGGTCCAAGTGGTCCAAACAAAGAATATTTGTTTGATTTAGCCTCTGCACTCAGAGAACTGGCACCAGATGCACATGACAGTCACCTATTCGATCTTGAAGATAAAGTGCTAGAGTTAATGAGAACAAATATTACTTAGTAGTCACCATAGTATACTACATTATTTTATGTAATAAAACCATTAGTATTAAGCGAGCTTCAAAATTATACTTTCGTGTGATAGACATCATATGGAAATGGTGCTATAAATTAATGGAATTTACAGAACTTCAATGAATTTTATAGAAGATTTAATTTAATTCCATCTGGAATTTGGAATTTCCGGAAATTTTGTATTTTGATATGAGCTTATCTAAGGAGAGTGCTATAGTAGAAGCGGGTATTGTTAATAATGTAAGTTCATAATCATCCTGATTATAATGGATGTACAGCCCTAACGGTTTGATAGATTTGGATAAAATTTTGCAAGGACCAGTATTATTTCTCTACGAATAAAGCT